CCCTCCGTGTCCTCCGCCCTTATAACTATGCTTCTAAACAGCTTCTCCACGAGAAGATCTGCCCCGCCCATTTGGGGAAGCTTCTCACCAAAAGGGCCAACATTTCATCGATCAATGGATCAAAGATTCTTTTTCTGATACAGCCGATAAGACCCTCTATTACCATATCAGAGAAGTCCGCTGTAAGGGTTACTTACATCTACCGAGCCATTGCTCAGATAATCGCCGGGACAAGCGGCGATGCGATTTATGGGCAGGCGGGCACCGGAAAAATAGTTCGTTGATTTTTTGCGGCCCGCTTGCAGAAATTTGGAAGAAAGTTGGCGAAATTGAAGACGAAAGCTTGAAGAAAATCGCAGTTTCTTTATGGATTAGCTGCGGCGCAGTGGCCGCATTCTCGCGGACTTTCCGCGAGAATATGCAAAAATTTCGAGGGCCGCACGGTCCTTTGTGGAGGACCGCTCAACCCTCAGGTACTTTCCGCTGAGAGAAAGTACCTCAAACTGAGTAACTAAACCAACGGTGACACCTCTGCCACACAGAGTCTTACCTGCGCTCGACGTACGCCCGAAAATGCCTAAAAAGAGTCCGAGCGCTTGCTGAAAATTTGGCCAGCGCTCGCTGAGAAATTATTTGCGGAGCGCTTGCAGGAAATTTTGTATTGCTGCCCGCTGGCAGAAGACGAAAGTACCGCCCGCTGAAGGTTTGGCCACGCCCCAAAATTCTGCTGACCGCCTGCAGAAAAGCGCGAGTTTGCGGACCGCCTGCCCCCGGCGATTATCTGAGTGTGAGGCGAGATAGATTGGCTAAAGTTACCCTGTTAGTTGCATGCGAACTTTTGGGCGGCATACTGGCAGAAAGTTTGATTACACAAATCAATGTCAAATCAAAAATCGATAATTCGGAGACCACGAGATATTGGAGGAGTACGAGCAGAGATACAAGATGTAGACTACCCAACAAGATAGGCCAAGAGGAAAAGATTGAAAAGCACGAAAAAAAGAGAGAAGAAGAAAGCCAGAAGAAACAAGAAATGAGATTGAAATAGACGAGCTTTAGAAATGGGACGATGGATGATAAAATACTACCCCCGACACAGCCAAAGTCGGAAAGAATGAGTAATCATCTCGAAAGGATTGATAGAAAGGGAATTGAGGAACTGATTGGAGAAAGATACCAACAAGCACCGAAAGATGATAAATCAAAGAAATGTAAAGTTTCGGAAGAAAACGACAAATCGACGTGATGGGTCCAAGAATATTAGAAACACGACCGCTCGTAGCGGCAAGCAAGCGAATGTTTCGCTGATATTTTTATTTTGCAGGTCTGTAACAATTGCTTCAAATACAATCCATCATTTCATATTATCCATCAGCATGGCCAAGCTCTTCTGCAAGCTTTTAATGAACGGGTCAGTTAGCATGGAACTCACCATCGCAACTCAGCCAAAACTTGATTTTTCAGTGGCTGAATTTACCCGTGAGCAATAAAGATGTACACGTTGTGGCTAGCTCTAGCAGAATGACTGTTGAGAATGTCAAAAGTTGTCGCAGGGTATCAGATGTTTCTCTTTGATTTTGAAGCAAAATTCCATTTCTCAGGTGGAGCTCTTGGAAGAAAAGCTATCAACAATCATCGGAGATATCACCTCACACCTAATGCGGATAAGGGAGTTAGTGGGCCAGACTGCGCCGCGGGACGTGATTTTCAAAGAAATAGAATTAGTAGAAGAACTCTTGAACCAAATATCCTCGCTAAGCGTTTTTAGTACGAGCCGGTAGACACAAAGGCTCACAAAGCGTCTTCCGCTACATCGATCGTCAAAGATTTGGTTTCTAGCAGCCCTAAACCGAAAACTACGGTACGCACTTATATACAGGGTGTCCCAAAAGTAAGTACACACTTTTCAATCGTTAATATCTCTCTTCCCATTGTGTCTTTTTTCGCCATCTAAGCATCATTCTGTAGAGGAGGCTTCAACTTAGATTTACAGTATTGAGCGAATCACCGATCGCTCTTCATTACTGTAGGATAACTGTAGAATCTTCGACAAGGATTTTTAGGCCACTGGAGGCCATGTCTGCCTCGAAACAAAACCAAACAAGCTAAAAACTCTCATACTAAGGTAGTGAAAGTTGCTGATTTCAAATATGAAATTTTCGCCATGCTATGATGCTTCTTTCTAAAGTTACTCCAGGTAAACCGTGATATCCAAATTTTCAATATTTGTCAAAAATGTGATTACACCATCAGAAAAGCTGGAAACACTCATAAAAAGTTGTGTAGTGGGACTAGTGTGCGCGAAAACCTTAGTACACTATTTTTCAGATTTTTTGAAAAAAATGTCGTCAGATGGCATATTTCACAATAGTTCTACTTGCTGGAAGTTCTTACCGTAATCCTGCAGTGATGAAGAGCGGTCGGTGATTCGCTCAATACTGTAAATCTAAGTTGAAGCCTCCTCTACAGAATGGTGCTTGAATGGCGAAAAAAGACTTATTGGGAAGAGAGATATTGACGATTGAAAAGTGTGTACTTACTTTTGGGACACCCTGTATTTACAATCGGGTTTTTCATCTTAGTTTTGCTCTCTGTCGAAGCCATCTAGCACGTAAAACATGACAGTTTCGGAGCTTTCTACGTAAAAAAAATCCGACACAGGGTTTCCGCTCAGCATGCATATGATGTACTAGCTGCGTAAAACCAGATTCGTAAGTCCAATTGTTGCCTTTATCACAATATCTGTTTCTTACTAGTAGTAGCTATTATTAATTCTCAGCGCGGATTCCCGAGTAACATTAAGGTTAGCAGCTCAAATTTTTCATGGAATAGGATGCGTAAACAGAATGGGTTGGCAGTACAGCGAGTTACTAAATAAGAAAAGTTTCGAGTTTTGCTCTTGAAAAAATGGTCTGTGATCTGAAGCCTACGATGATGTATTAAGGACATAAGTTACGCAATTTTTTCTTGAAGCTTTGGTTGTTTTTTTGAAGGCGCTTCCTTTTTTGGTATCACAATGGTTACCACGTGAGCAACGAATTCAGCCATTTTTGCCGAATTCTAGCACCGCGTTTGAGAGTTAGTTTTTGATTGGGAAAGAAGATGGACTTAGCACGGATTGGATAAAACTTGTTCAGTGGGTTATGGGTTATGCGACATACTGAGTGCGAAAATGATGTTCATTCTGCGTGGAAGGCTAATTTTGCTACGAAAAAGCTATGTTACTTACTGGGCTAATCTTTGACCTTGACAACAATTGATTGTGATATTCGTGTTGAGCATGTCAATTTATCCAGTCGTGCGAAGTTCGCCAAAATTCGACGGTTCCGACTTTCTATCGCTGATGAACTATCGAGCGGATTTTGACGCATTTGGCTAGCTCGAGTTAACGAAATTGCCAGTTTTCAATTTGACTTTAGACTACAACTCTTTTTTCGCAGTAGCCAATCTGACAAGGGAAGCTACCTAACTTAGCTCGACCGTTTGGCAAGGTACGTATATACATGAATCAGCTTCAAACGCTGGTTCCAAATATGCTATTCCTAGCTGCCGCGCATCATTCCGACAAGTTGTAGACTTTTCCTGCGCAAAATGGCACAATCATCGACTCACTGGCATCAAGGCATCATCATCTAAGTGCTAATATACCGTTAAGCTTCTTTATAGTGAGAAAAGATCGATTTGTGTTCTTTTGATATCTCAGCACCTTTTTTGCAGATTTTTATACACAGGCAGTCTTCCCATGTTCCGTAGTATGCCAATGTGCAGGAAAAAGCCATAACTCGTTTCGGAATGGTGCGTGGCAGCTAGGAATAACATATTTGGAATCAGCGTTTGGAGTTGATTCAGAACATATATGTCTCTTGCCAAAAGGCCGAGCTATGTTAGGTAGCTTTCTCATAAGGACATTTTGCCGACGTCTTGGTAGATCATTCTTCTTCATTCTATACGTCTTCTTCGATAAAGAGTCTTAATTTTTGCTTAAAAACCGTACAACCTCGATTTTGATCGGATTTAGAAAAATGCGTAAACTTTTTCTATTTTACCTTAAACAAAAGGTTTGCGCAGATTTATAGCTTACTTTCGAGACTACATAATGCTAAGATTTGAATGCGCCTTGCTAGAAAGAGGTTATGGACAAAAGTGCAACTTATGAGCCAACCCAATGTTATACTCGAGTGAAGGCGGGAAAGAAGCAAATGGAGCGAGACATCCAAATCTCGATAGCTACTGACTTGTGAATGCTTCGTCTGCTAGCTAATTGGCATTACCGTGATATTTCAAACTCCCCTCAAAAAATAGCGAACCTTTAGAAGTAAATCCTCAAGGGAGAGATATATATATATGGGCTAGTGGCAACGCTTTCACTCTTAGAATACCGTAGTCTATCGCGGTATTTTGGGCATATAGTACTGACATCTCTTACAGGGGAAGGATACTATGATGCCGTAGCCATTTATAATGATTTGTATACAAAAAAATGCGCTTTTGAATGCTGGTTCGTAGACTGTCTTTCATATCTGCGAAACGATAATCTGAATGGAGTTATGATTTTTTTTCATTAAAAAAATTGCGTTTTTGCGAAAGGTCAAAATCATCAATAAAAAAATTTTCACTCCTTTCCAAATGCTGAGTATGATCCAGATAGTCTAAATAAATATTACTACGTCTAAAATTTTCTTCAGTAGCATCAAACGGTAGGCCAGATCAAATCTGGTGATTTTTACTATCTAAAAGTAGGCTAAATTTTCAAGGAAAAAAGTTCATAACTTTCTTCAAAAGATCGTTTCGCAGATTTCGAGCACAGATTCAGAATCTGCATTCGAAGGCGCATTTTTTGATATACAAATCATTAGGAATGGCCGCGGCATCCAACTATCCTTCCCTTGTTAGGTGTCTATAATTTTTTCAGAATATCCAGTGCGTCTTATGGCGATATCAACTAAACTTTTCATTCCTAGCTCTCAAGAACCAGATTTTTTAGCACCAATCATCGGTGGATGCCGACGCAGAACCAGCACAGGCTTGCTGTAGCTATGGACTTCAGCGGACCGCCCTACGACATTCATACAAACAAAAAGCATCGAAAGAAGAGCTATCGATTTGACTTTGAGGACGAAGCCACTCACAAACCAATGCCCTTTGACGAAAAACGCCAGCTTAGCTTGGATTTGGAAAAACTACCAGCAGACAAACTCAGTATCGTAGTTAGTATCATCGAGAGCAGGGAAGGTCTATCTGTGAGTACTCCTATGCGATGGGAGAGTGCAGTTTTCCATATCATTCTTATTATCTAGGATGATAAAGCAAAAGAAGTGGAGATTGATCTCGAGGCTTTGAAACCGTAACGCTTCATGAGTTGCGAGCATTTGTTACGGCGATCTTGAAGCGAAAATCACGCAAGAGCAAGTTTATAATAATTTGATAGGCACACGATTATGTTTGTCTCTCCAGCCGCCAAAGCTGACAATGAAGAACGAAAACGTGCGATTGAAAAAAGATCAAAAATCTTGGTGGCTCAATCACACAACCCTCTAGAAGGTCCTTTGTTTGTCGCGTCATCATCGCCTGATAATGGTAATTCATCAGCGAATTCAGGCTCCCCATCGGTAGATGCTGTAGCATTGCAAGCTAGTAAATGTGCTCCTTCTTTATCGGAGAGCTCGTCGGATAGCGAAGACTCGTCCTCGTCCAGCAATGCTTCGTTTGACTCTGATTCAAGTTGAATATCTGTCTAAACTCGAAACATTCAGTAAATTGTTTTGATCAGGCGTGTTTTTGCACCGTAATCTTTTGATCTCCTGTGACTTTTGTTGTATCACTATTGTTGTTTAGCGCTGTTTTTATTGACCACTAGCTGGCTTACCCGGCTCCGCCGTATGTTCCGAATAGAAAATTCCATTTCTTAACCAATCCGGACCAAACTTGGCACACATACACTTCGGGCCCCGGCGGGTGTCACAGTCCACTTTTCGTTATCGATTGATGTCGATTTTATCGATTTTTTGCAAAATTTGAGCTAGGAGGCTGGGATTTGGCACAGGGGGGTAATCGAGCATGCTGATTACGAATACAATATTAGTTTTCGAAACCGTGCATTACTTTTATCGATTTTATCGATTTTTTTGCAAAATTTGAGCTAGGGGGCTGGAATTTGGCAGGGGGTGTAATCGAGCATGCTGATTATCCCCACGGGGGTGATCAGCATGCTCGATTACCCCCCTGTGCCAAATCCCAGCCCCGTAGCTCAAACTTTGCAAAAAAATCGATAAAATCGATAAAAGTAATGCACGATTTTGAAAACTAATATTGTATTCGGAATCCCCATGCTCACTTACCCCCCTGTGCCACATCCCAGCCCCGTAGCTCAAATTTTGCAAAAATCGATAAATCGATATCGATCGATACGAAAAGTAGCCTATAACACCCGCCGGGACCCGAAGTGTATGTGTGCCAAGTTTGGTACCGATCGGTTCAGAAATGGAATTTTCTATTCGGAACATACGTACACACAGACAGACATACAGACAGGCAGACAGACATACATACAAACAGACATTCAGCTTTATATATAAGATAGCAGTTTTGATCAACTACCGTAGCGCGCTGATTTGCATTGTGTTGCTTGAAAAACATCATTTAATTTTGATTTTTGATCTGTTTATGCATACAAAGCTCCCCTCAGAAGCTTTCTTTCTAGAGCAAGTGCAAATTCAATAAAAGAACAAAAGCAAATGCATCACACAATCCGCGAAATTATGCGGACACAGTCCAATTTGCAAACTAAAAGCTATTCATCCAGATAGCGTGCACACTATATGAACATGCATTTGGACAAGTATGGCTGTAGAATACAAGCTTTTAGTTTTTGAAGCAGCTTGATTTGGAAGGAAGCTGTTGTGAACGTTATGCTTCTCTTCATTGCTTTTTATTGAGGCTTTGCTTTTCTTCTTTCCCACCAATTTCATCGTAGTTCGCACTGTTTCGATTCCACTAATTCAGGCAAAATGAGTTTTATTGGTGCATTCTCAAAGAAACGATTGTTAAAGAGGCGATAGAACAACGTGGCAGTGCGTCTTTTGGCATAACATCAGCCCATTTTCGCATATTCTCACATTTTTGCTTTGACAAGATTGCAAAATTCAGCCGCTAACTATTTAGCATAGCATAGCAGTTCATAACTGCCATCCTCACGCTCTAAGGAAGACAATATGGTAAATAAACCGATGTGAATGAAATAAGCAGAACAATACAACTACAATACAACTACATGCAAACGAAATTGATTATGAGAACTGCGGAAAGCATGCGCTTATAAGGAAATCGAGAGAGAGTGTGTTTGCTAAGAAACAATGCCATCGCATACGCTATTTCTACTAGCTGCTACGATAAGTAAGAATCTTCAATTTTCTGTTGTCATGAATTTTCTTAGTTTTTGAGACTAAAGTTTCTAATATTTAGCAGCCATCAGTGCAGATGATGATGTCTTGGGTTATGCGCTCGAGTTCCATCACCCAAGACATCACAAACATCATGGTTCTCTTTCCGAACTTTCCGGGCCACAAGGGCTAGGGAAGCTCCACCATTATGGACCTCATCCACACAAACATCATGGTCCCCACTCCGAAGTTTTGGGGCCACACGGGCTAGAGGAGCACCATCATAATGGACCTCAACCGCTTGGTTTCCAGGTCCCTCATCCTTTAGGGAAGCCTGAATCTTCACAACGCTTGCCAGAATCCAAAAAATAGTAATAATTCCAGTGCCAGGATCGATCCTTCAACCACAGTGGTTATTGGACGAAGAAGGTTCTGAAGAGTTACTCAATCTTAAAGTTTTTTTTAAACAAGGTGTTCTTTAGATGATGCAGATCCAAGGACACCGTGGCTAGACGATGAGAACCAAGAAAAATTTGTAAATATACTGAGAATTCACGGTGACACAATCGTAAATAGCACCGCACTAGAAGAAGAAAAAAAGACAGACGTCTCTAAAAAATGGGAACCTTCGCAAGCGGGGCAAGGTGAAGACTTTATATTGTACTAAGGTAGGAAACAAACCTCAAGGAGACTGATATCGAAAATATAAAGTTACAGTACCGAACCGCACTATGCTCAAACACTTCATCCGCCGCCAACGAATGAAAATGAGAAACATGATTGAAATTACAAAACTTTTTATCCGTTGTTCACATGTTGTTTCTCTCTTGCCATGAAGTCATTTGATGCTTTGTAGTCATTTAGAAAAGCATCTGGTAACATTTGAAAGAAGAACATCAAGAGGTTACTGTTCGTTTTGAGCTCAAATGAAAATTTATCGGTATACCAACATAGAATAACTATATCATAAGAATGCTCGCTAAACAGGCCAAGGTGAGAAACGGAATGCAAATGCAAGAGCTAGTGGCTAGAGTTCGGACGAAATGTAATTATTTTTTGCCAGTGACGTGATATTAAAAGAAAAACCTGAAACGAAACCACAATCGGTAGCAACCTTGGGGTAGACATTCCGTTCCCACTTCCTCAAGGAATGGTTGTTTTGCAGTAAGGTTTGCTATATCACTGAAAAATGCATTCTTGCAAGTCAATTTTGATGGAAATTCTACTTCGAATCCTCACTTCCAAAAAGGATTTACAAAAAATACATTCGAATACGCGTTTTTTTACGAAAAGAAGCACTCTCTACGCAGGTTTGTTTCCGATTTTGAAAATGCGCTCGTATGTCGAAAATGTTTAACTTGCTTTGTGAGATTTAGGGCTAAACAAGGTGTCTTCTAGACAAAATGATTGTATTTTCCTGGGGCTGGTAAGCCTGCATAAGAAAATGCTGAAGAAATAAAACAGACAATATTTGTACGTGACATAATTGCACCGTCTGAGCGAAGCCATCTTCTTAGGAATAACCCAATCTTTGAAGTTTTTCTGCATGACAAAACGTGAACTCATACCCAAACGCAGCAAACTATTGCGCAAGAAGCTGCTGATGAAAGTCTATTAGTACGTAATGTAGTCCTCAAATCTCACTCCAGATGACTTTCATTTGTTACGCTTTCTAGCAAACATAAAGTTTGGAAAATGGGATTCAATGAAATTGAGATTATGGCGGTAGTTTGACTCGTCGGATGCAGCGAAAAACATATTATTGATTGATTAATGATGTTTGATGATTTTATTGGTTTATACAAAGGCTACAAACGGTAATTAAGTACACTACGCTTAAACCTATCAAAAGCAACCCAATTCCTTTCCTCTTTCTAACGAAAAAGAAAACTAATGACAAAATGGCGAAACATTATCAAATTTCCCTCTTCTATCTCCATAGTCACAGCTAATATTGTTCCTTTCAGATAATGATATTTGTATAAACTTTGCAATATCTGCTCGAAAGCTGACAGAATTATCAGAGCATTGAGTTTGTCTTGGAATCAGCCGCCGATATGCTTCTTTCATGCACATATCGGTTTTGAACAAGAACCGAACCAGATAACGGAGCCATAAGTTTATCGAATAAAACAGTCGGAGCAATGTGCGCTATGTTGAGCAAAGTGGAGATGATCTTTTGGGTGTGACAGCACGTCTAGAATCTTACGAATGGTGTTACGCTCACTTTACCGAATCTAAAGGTGCGTTGCTTTACCTTGATTGATGAAAAGTGACATTCTTCACAATATTATAGTTCGTTCCTAGTTAATATTTCTATTGCTTTATCAATTATTATGGAGGAACTCGTTCGTAAACACATCGCCCATTCCGTGATTCGCCCATCTCAGAGCTTGAATCACCTCGTTTTCGCATTGTAAAAATGCGCTGAAAATTTAGCAAGTCGAAAAGTATAATCAAGGAAAAGGAGTAGTGTTTGCTGCTGCTTGAAGAGGAGTATTGTTTCAAAGAAGAAGAGTAGTCACATTGAGGAGTCGTTACAATGAGAAACTGATTACAAAATTGTTGATATCGCACATGTCACAATTAAGTATTCAGCAAATGTTTAAGATAACAGTACACCTTAATTTGGAAAAAGTATGCCCTTGGGTTGCTACAGGACTGGCACCTTCCTTGGCACCGCAAAATATCCGTCTACTCCATTATTGGTACGCCACAAGTCAGGATGATATTAGGTAAAACTTCATAAACCTCATCTTAGCAAACATGTTTTTTGCCACATGGCAAGTGAGTTGCATTTGAAAATATTATTTTTGATGAGATGATTGTGCGCTAAAACAAATATGAATGCGAAATTCTATTTAAAGGCAGCGTCCAGGCAAATCTGGCCGCATAAGGTTCTCGCCTGAAACTAATTAAATCAATGTTATGCAACTTATCAAAACTTATGACTTTCCAAAAATTATTCACCAAATCTAAATAGGAAGCTGGAGATTAACAAAGAACTGCTTAATTTGCAGAGGGTTTGCTCTATTAGTTGGCTATCAAAGCTCTTCCAAAGGAAAGAAAATTTCGAAAATTAGTTAAATTTAAATATGTTAAGAAAGAGTTACAAGCTTGGCGAATATTTCAGCGTTCTGAGGTGAATCAAGAGCATAGCAACGGAAACAACAAGAAATTTGTCGAATGCTACTTGAGGTATCTGTTATTTTCACTCTACGACCTATGCATAATTTTTTCACCCATCGCTTTCCATTAACTATGCTTTCCATGGCTATGCAAAACTTCTTCTTGCATTTCCCTCTTGTTTGGCACCTTTATTATGTAACGATCGTGGTCCTATAATGTATCCATAAGTATGAAGTTTTTAGTCGTTGTAATCTCTCACCTTAATGCATATCGGAGTTGAGTCCAAAAGATTGCTTCACCTTAGTCTTATGGTATGATATAAGTCACCGTAGAATAGTGGTAAGATGTTTTAAGATCGTTGAGCGACTTGAGGCCAAATTTTGTTACAGAGATTTCAAACGAAAACAGCGCAGACGACTCCAGAAATGGAGCACTTTTTCGTACCATTCTTCGATGAAACTTACAGCAGGTGTACTGTAACCGTTTCTTATTGATGTATTGATTTTTCCAAAAATAATCCCACCACTCCAGTGACCTCTACAAACCGCACAAAGTTTGATTTCTGAAATTCTGGGTTCGCAAAGCGTAAGGTGTTGCTATTGTCACAAAAGTTTTTTTGGTTAGATAAGTTTGAATCTTCGAAATAACAGCACTGTTTATGATGATAAGCTGCCTGTTACTATTACCCTGCCTTTCTGAATTGACTCCAATTGCTATTATTAGGTTGGTGCAAAAGTAATGCGCGTTTTTCTAGCCCTTGTTTCAAGATAGCTTTTCTCCATCGAAGTTGCTCCTATGAAACGTATTGTTAATTGTATGTTAATTGTTAATTGCATATTGTTAAAAAGCTTCTTTCACTTCTATTCAACGGTGGTTGAAAGAAGCTTCTAGCCTCATTCGTTAAAAACTTATAGAGATTCATACAACCGTTCAAGACCAGAATTTCATTGCGCTTACTTTTTCGGCCAGATTTCAAGCGTGAGTAAAGGCATTCCTTTGAAAATTTAACTGCTGTATGTAGTAGAAATTTTCTAAGTTATGCACGCTTTACAGTTTTCCTAGAAATCATTTAGACTGAGATCTCGGCGCCTCAACATGAGTGATGGTTTTGCCCATTCTGTGGCCCATAAATTTCCTTTGAAGGGGGCAATCGCCAAAGTTTTGCTCATTTCTGTAAGCGTAAGGGTGGGCCTCCTGTTGACAGTTTTTGCAGAAATGTGGAAGCTGTTCAGTACATAGAAAATTAAAAATCTCCATATTTTGGGATTTTGAGGGCTACGAAAAAATGTCGAAAAAAGCGGACAATTTCGAATATTATTTTTTTCCCTTTCGCAAATATTCTTTATTCGAGCTTTTTTGTACTTTTTTTTGTACTACTGGTTTGCGGCTACAAGACAGTCAACTTATCATTTATACCGACAAATCTTGAAGTTATGATCAGTTAAAGACGAGGTTTCTGAAAAAAATTTTTTGCTTATCAATACATATTTTTCCACCGATTTGCGTTGTTAACATAAGTCAATGTGCGCTGTATAGAGAGAGGTTTGGTGCCTCTGATGAACTTTGCAGCACTGAAAAGTATGGATTTTTTAGAAAGTTATGGCACGTCAAGGTGAGAACTCGCAAAACGCGCATTACATTTGCACCAACCTAATACTATTCTTTCGTATATGTCCAATAGACGATAGCTTCAAGTGACCAATTTACCACAAGGATAGAAACAGATTGAAAATCAAGATCATTGAAATCTTTATTCATTCACTAATCAACTTCCCTAACTCATTCCACTGGGCAGGATGACCTGCCTGAAAATGCAGTGTAATTTGATACCATGTCACTCCCAAAATTATTTCTGACCGAATTCTCTAATAGTTGCCTTGCTCCGTCTCCGAAATTTTCGGTTCCTTGATTCTAACCATTTTGAAAACATTATATCCATATTGGTATGTATAATCTGATTCTAGTCTGTTCTCTACAATCTCAAAACCTAGAATTTCTTCATTAGTTTTCTATTCTTTTAGCTGTTATAACACGACCTTCTGCGTTCGTTGACGTCGAACACTGCTTGAAGAAACTGTGGTACCTAAAATCCACATTTTTATGATAGTAAATGAAGTGTAAAACTCTTCATAACCTTCTCCGGCAATCTCTGATGGTCTCGAAGATTTTCCAGGAATTGGCAGCTGTAGGCTAGGCCTTTCCGGATGATGGGGACCACGACAATCGGCGGAGGTCCTAGTGACGATGATGGTTTCCCAGTTTGCGCCCCAGAAAATATTGAAGAATCATGTTTATGATGATGTCGATGCTTTGGTCTATATAGTTCAGGAAACGTGGAAAAAAGCGATGAACTTTTCCTCTCATGTTTCCTTAAACGTTTGCGAATTTGTCCACGAAGTTTGAGGACATCGCCTGCGCTGGTGCTAAATATGAAAGAATTTGCGCTATATGCAACACGAAAGTCTCCGCAAAAAAGGAAGTTATAGTTTTTACCTATCACAGCAGCCAGTAAGACCAGAGTATGCGATTGCATTGCTTTTTGTCTGAAGACCCTCTCAACGTCCTTAAATTATGTGGGCAAAAGCTCTTATAATTAATTTCTTGAGCTTCAATTCTATGTGTACATATTATTTTACGATCTGTAAGCTATAATCGTCACACTTAGAGCGTGAGCGTTATTGTTATGGAATGATCTCTTGTGTGCAGCAGACACGATGATGATCAGCTATCACTTCATTTTACGATCTCTTCAATTCGAAAATGTAAAATGAATGT